GTCTTTTTCCTAACAAATGAGATGAGTTTGCATTTAGAAGGGATAAGTTTATATATGAGCCAAGTCGAGCACCACAGCGATAGGTTAGTGAGCTCATGTTGTAGTTTCATGCTATCTTCTTCGTTAGAAATTTTCCTATATACAACGCGGTCGTCTGCAAAAATACGGATGCGAGAGGAAATACATGAAGGTAAGTCATTAATATATATTAAGAAAAGCAAGGGTCCAAGGACGGAGCCTTGAGGAACGCCTGAAGACAGAGGAATAGTAGTTGAACTATGTCTGGATAATGCCCCTAAAGAACAGAACAGGTGAACAAAAAACTCAAGCATTCCTTGAAATAGTTTAGTCAAAGAAAATATTCCAAAAATACAAACAGATCAAGGACTAATGCTTTATAATAGTAAAGTATTGAGTTGTCTGAGCATAAAAAATTAAACCTCATTACTTACTGAGAACTTAAAGCATCTTTTGTAGAAAGATTTAACAGAACAATAAAAGAAAATTAGGGTACTCTTAGCGTGTAAAATATATGTTTGGTTTGATGTTTTGCATGAAGTGGTTAAAACTGCAATACCATTTTCATGGATCAATTAAAATGACTCCAATTGAAACCTCATTAAAAAGAACGAAAAAGGAGCCAGAAAAAAATGTGTATCCTCCTTCGAAAAGTAATAAGAAGCCGTAATGCAAAGTTGGTGATACTGTAAGATGACGAAAATATAAAGGGTTTGTTTAAAAGGGTTCCATGCAAAATCATATGTCCAAAGTGTTTAAAATAAAAAAAGTCTTCAGTGATGGCGTTCCGTATTACCATTTAGTTGACATGAAAGAAGAGGATGTACTGGGGCGATTTATGAACAACTCATGGTAAAATACGTTCCTACAGGGAGATTTTGGTATATTGTTTTCATGTTATTTCTTGAAGGTCATTTTTTAAGGTCGAGGGAATGGGGGATGGTCCAGTATTCTCATTTTCTATTCTACTTATGTGCTCGGCCGGTGTGGTCATTTTTGAAAACATAATGGGCCAATGTTCTGCTGTAAAACCAGTCAGAAAAATCGGTGCCTCCATATAGAAAGCTAGAAAGTTCGCTGAATGTGCACTCAGCAGGCCAGTTTTACCGTGTAAAATTTCAAAGCGCAGTTCTTTACCAGTAAAGAGTGAGAAGAAAAAACTTGCCAAGGTCAAGGTTGGGCGCGTTCGCAGACGGTCGAGTTGCCGACGTTATGTAGGCTCTCCAAGCGACGCTATTTACTTGTGGCGCCATTACAAGTTTTCCGTTCGCATTTTTTTACAGGAAGAAAGCTGCGCTTTGAGATCTCACACGGTAGAACTGACTGCTGAATACACATCCGGTGAAAGTATGAGTTTGTTATTTGCAGGCGCCGATTTTTTCGGCTCGTTTTATTGCGGAAAGTCCGCTTGGGCCACCCTATGTAACTTAAGTACTAACATTGGAAAATTTTAGAATGGCGTACCCGAAAGCTATGTGTTAACAAAAATAGAATCATCACCACTGCGCATACACCGAGCCCAAACCAAGTTTAGGTTGGCGCATGGCGACGACGCTCTCTGTTTGTGGTGGTGGTGGGGGGGGGGGGGGGGGGGGGGGGGTTAAACGCAGCTTTTGGGTGTGGCAATCTGAAACCAGTGTTGTACGGAACGGCGTTCCAAGGAACGTCGTTCCTGCAACGGGTTCCTTTTAGGAGGAAAGAAGGAACGCCAACGTTCCATTTTGCATCGGTGGAACTGGAACGGGAACTCGTTACATTTTTACTAGAACGGAAAGAGTAACGGCGTTCCTTTTTTTGTTTAGTGGGGTCATTTTCATTCTATTTTTACGAGGGAAATTTTAAAGGTAGAAAAGCTATATCGTTATGAAAATATTGTTTTTAACTCGTTCATGTTTTGGCTACTTATCTTAGGATTTATACTGTGTGGTCCTCGCTTAGTAACAGTCGGTTGCCGGAAAATTAGTGAGCATCAATGTTTTTTTTTCTTCTTTTTTTGAGTGCTTGAGACTGCGGTACAAAAAGCGAAACGTTTAGTCGCACGAAAAGACACAAAGAGGGGCGTTTCAAACTTAGCTACGTTATTTGCTTCCACAAATCCACATACACCCAGACATCTAAGGCCGACTACAGTTATTTCTGAACTTTCATAAAGAGACCTACAGTTACAAAAAAATCACAGGTTACTATATATCGAACGCACTTTTGTATCCCGAACATTGGTGACTAAAACGATACACAGAAATTAACCTTTATTCCTTCTCCCTTTGTCCCCCACCTTCAAACTGAACAACGAATCCAACCTTCACAAAGAACTACTTGCAGTTTTCAAGACGGACCTTCCAAAAGCATACCCTCTCCTTCACTTGCTCGTCTTGAGGACAGCAACATCGAGGAGTAACTGCTGTTAAGTTTGAACAAGGGACTTTGTTAGATTGAAACGTGTGAGGTTGTTGTAAATCGCTCGTGCAATGTGGGGTAACAGTAGATTTGGCTTGTCTGAATCGTTCACCGCAAACATGAATCTGGTTAAAAGCTGAGATTTTTAAACTTGAATATATGAACAAATAAAACCCTGATTCCGCTTGTTTTCTTCTCCTGGTGCCCTTCCATGTCGACATATAAATTCCCATTTGATGGGATAGATAAAAAAAAAGCTTTGCTTGATCTAACCAAGTATGGTCATTAGGAAAATACAAACGTAACGTATATGTAACGAAACGTTCCATTTTTTTTTTAAACTGTAACGGGAACGAGTTCCTTTCTCACAGATGGAACTTGTAACGGGAACCCGTTCCAAAAACAAGAAGGAACGAGGAACGAGCTTTCGTTCCTTTTTTTGAGGAACGTGTACAACACTGTCTGAAACTCAGGATTAGGAAAAGTAAATTAATTCTGAAAAAAATTGTCTTGGTAGATGTAAGTTGCTCTAAGTGATATTCGTTGGCAATTAGTTTACTTGTAAATTATAAAAACTCTCAAACGCATTGGCAATTATCTGCGAATTTCACAGGCCTGATTTGCATAGCTTATCTTTTTCTAATATTTAATTTGCGCGCAAGTATTTATACAAAATTGTTCTTCAAATTATGGCCTGCAAACATTCTAATTCCGTTTTTCAAATTATAATTGTGTTTATTTTCGTATATACAATTGTAGAGGCGACGGAGGCGTGGGCAAAACGACAACGTATTTTGCCTTGACGAGGCCCATCCGAGAAAAAATGAATCTGTTGCCACATCTGTTACTTTATATGGGTCTCAATTCCCATGAAAAAAACATTCGCATCATTAAATAATTGAGCAATATGATACAGTCCCTCTAGGAGGCCCTCTTTTAAGTATGCACGGAGCATTGCGCTGCGTGGTGTAAACAATACCCGATGTGTACCGTTACAAACGTAAGAAGCATCACTTGAGCTGCGGCGCAACGCTGGTCGAAGGACTCTACCGAGCTTTCCACTTCTTCGCCTTTTATTTTTTGACGCAACCTCTAATTGTTCTGCCCTCGCCACGCACAGGAGGACAAAGCAGAAGCCTCCGTAACATTGACCGTTCCTATGCTTCGTTTTACCGTACGACTGTCCCAACTGTCCTCAGAAGATGCTAGGAGCCATCCAAGTCAATTAATTGCCGTGAGGGTGTGACGTCACCTTTAGGAGGGGCGAGTGACGCGTTATCACCTGATACGTTAGATTGGTTGAGATGGCTCGTGACGTCCGCAAAAGTCTACAGTATTTGAAAACGGAGTATAGCAACGCCTAAAGAAACTAAATAATTTCTCAGAAGACCAGCCAAATTAGAGTACTATCCTGGGAGGGTACTATATTAACGAACAATCAACCAATTACAGCACCGAACGCGCCACAGATTTCAGTATTTTTAAGCAATATCAAATAAGTAGCCTGAAAAGAAAAAAAAGAACTCCCATGCTTTTTTTTTTCTTTATGTACTAGTGCTGCAGGATGTCTGAACGATAATATGACCAAGTTCGGCCACGGTGGCGTGCGGTGCTCGCGAACCGCTAGTCGCTAAGATATAAACCCACCAACAACAACTGAGTGCAACATCGACCTGGCAAGACCATTTATTTTTTTTAACTTACCTATGTGATGCAACATGTTTGGTATAGTATTTGGAATGACACGGTTTTAAGGGCTCATTGAGTGAAGTATGGAATAAACTCCAGGATACCTTTTTTTTTTTTTAAATTGCCGCGCAAATATTTGCACTTTTTACTTTTTTATTGTTAGATGATATTCGGGCTTTTAGCAAGAAACACTTACAATATTGGACCGAAATACTTTTGTTCCTAAAAGTACACAAAGCGTGATCGACTGTATACAATTAATGCATAGTTGCAAGAGAGCTTAACAAGATTAACGTCGCCCTATACAAAATGTTTAATCTCAAAAACTTAATTTTACGATATGTACAAAATTCGTTGAGCAATGCCTTAATACAAAGGAGTTGCTGAAGAGGCCAAAGTGGCCCTTTTATTTATTTTTAATATAAACTCATATAAATTAAACTTAATAATTCTAGTAAACCAGCTGGCGTGCGTTATACATTTAAACGTTTATGGTCCAGAAACTTGTATTCATGATTTTTTTAACCTTAAGTTTGCGTTAGTGCGCCACTGGGAAAGTCATTGTTTCCACCTCCTCTCAGATGCAATTTTTGCACATAAAAACAAAGATGTATTTTGCAAAACTATTTTGTTGCCTTTTCGGGTCTCATTTTTCTACCTCATCGAAACGTTTAGTCGAAAATATTAAATAGACATGAGAAACCAATGACTATCCTTGTATATGTGAAACAGGTCTGCGCTCTAACTAACCTTGAACATATGACGGAATGAGCGTGACGCATCCTCTTTACGAGAGTTACTGGTTTTCAGTGAGGACAGACAAAAATGTATAAACCCTTCAATAGATGGAACAGAAATCCTAGAAGTTCTCCCAAATTATTTTGATTTCCGAGCAGGTATTACACCATCCTTCAATGAGCACCTCAGAGATTTCGTGCGGGGAGTACTTTCTCCCAGTACACTCGTCGTCAAGACTTTGCATGGAGTGCCCCTCACTGCCTCGGAACTGTGCAAGTTTGTTGAGGTATGTCTATTTTCGTTATATCCCTGCTTTTTGCGAAGAAGCAAATGCTAATTTAATTTCTTGCGTAAGAAAAATTCAGCACGAGGTAATATTATCCTGCAATAATTTTGTCCCGGGCACACGAATGTGGTATTATTTAGTGGTTGTTATTGCTCTACAAAAAAAGAAAAAGACAAAATAATTGAGGTTGCGTTGTTTGCATTATCTGTGTCGCGTAGTGTACATAGGATAGCAAGTAAACAGAGTGCAGGTTTTGAGCAGATAACATCAACATAATGGCGACAAAGTCTCAGATATCTGGAGGCCGCGTCTTTTCTTAGTTCGAACGATGAGCTACCTTGGTTGTTGGCGTCCACTTTAACCAACACCTGATCAGGCCCCGCCTCGACCGTCCCAAAGGAGATCTCACAACGGAAGGTACGAAGGATTTTCTGTCTCGCAGTTGGATCAACTGGAGGCAGCGCTTTGTCTTTCCGCCGTCCTGTCCAACCGTCTTCGACCTCGTCGTTCGATCATGTTCTCATCCTCGTCTTCTCTCTTGGCCCTCACGTGCCCATTTCCGGCCAACTCGTAGGCACGGACAGCCTCCCCCCCCCCCCCCCCCACTTTGCATATGGGACTCCGGGGGCTTGAGGACGGGGACTCTTCTGAGCCTTCGAATAGGAATTCGCTGGGTTCGGACAGGTGCGCGCTCTCGACGGCTTCTGGAGCAGCGATGGCCGTGGTGCAAGCCGCAGGCGGACGTCGACGGGGGCTAAGCTTCGACGGCTGTGGGGCCTTGGACGGCATTCGTGGCGGCGGCGTGTCCCCCAGGAGGCTGATTAGGGGCCTCAGGTGTGGGCAGGTCCGGCCTGTCTCGTCCGAGGAGCTGAACTGCGGCCTCTACATTCTTAGTGGGAGAAAGCGTCATGAGCCGCTGCTGGTACCCATTCCGGCCTCGTGTGCTGTCTTTGGGTATACAAAGGGATGCCGCACAGCCAGCAGCTCTTCTCATGGTCCAGAGGGCGGGACCAGAGGGGGTAGTGCATGCCCTCGGAAGGTCGGCTGGATGGTTTCTGTGCCAGGCTGCCCTGAGTCTGGCCTCTGTTGGTATTTTCACCGCCGTCGAGGAATGAAGTGGACTGCGCCCAGTCTCTCGGACGTCGTCCTCGTAGACACCGCGTGGCAGGTGGCCTACTCCGAGTTATGGTTAGTGACATTATAATAGTTCAGTGGAAACTACTCTCAATACTATCAAGTTCAGCGGAGCGAATGCTGGAGAGGAGGTCGTCTCGTTTCAAGCGTTTGCTCTGCTCAAGTGGAAGTGGTCCGTCGCATTCCAGTCACCGACCATAATCCCCCTCCGCGGACGGGACTGACCCGTTCAGCGGAAGGTTCGCTACGATGGGGACAGATGGACCTTTTCCCGCCAGGCTCGGTAGGGGGTTCTATCGATAGATACCGACTCCAATACCTTGCCTCGTCCGGTATGGTCGCCTTTAGGATTAGATGCCCTGCGAGGCGGTCCACCAGAATCCAGGATGACTGCCTTGGCTGACCAGGGAGGCCGTGGCGTCTACGCTCTGCCACGGTGGGCCCCCTTGCAGTAGGGTTGTCCATGGGCGGCGCCACGTCGAGCTCCTCCCAGCCGTAGACCCAGGTGGACATTACTTTTGACATAATTACTGTTAAAGATGTACAGAATCATTGCACTCTGCGCCACGGACTTTCTTGAAGGACTGAGTTGCTGTGCAGGAGGCAGTTGGAGCCGGAAGCGTTCCATCTCCTCCCGTAGTGTCTCGTTCTATGTCGTCCTTGTCTCCAAGAAAATACTTCTCGAAATCGGCGACGTTAACGTGCTGAGACTGCTCGCGGTTGTACTGAGCCGAGCGAGTCAATAGGTAAGACGCGACACTTGCGTCGTTACCTCGTAGGGCCCTAGCCCTTCCCTCTTCAGAGCCATGGCGAGCAGCGAAACCGCAAGCTGCGCTGGTCAGTGGATAGCTTTCGTCATAAGACGAAGTCCCCGACATAGAATTACAGTCGACCATGGCTCTTACCGCATTGCGCCGCCCGCTTGATCCTTGTGGAAGTAACGGCTTCCGACAGTGGTCCGATGATATTCCATACGACCACCGCACACGGAGAGGGACACATCATCGGTTTGACAAAACCCGGAGGCTTCCCCCATCTTGGCTTTTCTTTCTAGCAAGCCGGGCATCTTGAAGTATTCCGCAATTCGTCTCGCCTCATCCCCAGCCAGGTCATGGCGCGACATAACTTATAAAAAGTGTGGCTGCCACTCCTCTGACCACCCAGAGTGGAGGCGTGCAAGTAGTTGACAAACCTTTGAACCAGGACGCTAAAGGGAGGCTACTTACCTCCCCTTCAAAGTTCGCACCTTTCCTAGATTTCTGTGTCTTGGTCAGGCGAAATGTACCAAGCTGGTTCTTTTCCAGCGAGCCTCGCTTTTACAAGGAAATGATTGCGGCAAGGTTTGAAAAGGGAAGGACGTCCATTTTAAAGCACATTTATTTTGAACCTGCTGACGCAGTCCGGCTGGCATATGCCACAGACGCAGACGTCTCCCGCTACCACCCATCCGAGCCAAAGGGTGCATCAGTATGTCCATTCCATTCTTTGTTAAACTTGTAAACTCTCAATATGACTCTTCCAAACAGAAGCAGGATACAGGCGTTTGGATGATTGCATGCAGCCAGGTATCACAAACTTTTTTTGTTTTATAGTATCTGGTATCTCTCTATCCGAGTGAGGAGAGGTGGTTTCATGCAGCCATCAATATTCTCGACAAACGAAAGCCAGAAGCTCTTCTGCCGGTCATTTCTGCTCTCCCGGCACACGTCCAAAGAGTATATAAACAACTGCCGCCTTAAATAATAAAAAAAGGTCTCAGTTTTTGGCAGTGGTCTGTTAGATTGGTCATCAATGGCGGCATAAATTCCCTCAGAGATTTGAGGCTGACTTGTATAGCCCACCAAGCAGACCTTGGAGCAAGACTTCCCATTCTAACCTTAACCGCACACCTCTGTGCACTTAGAAGACACTTCAAGTTGTGGCTGGCGGTTCACCTTGCCGTCTACAGAGCCTTGTCTGGAGGCCGATGACAAAAGCTTGAACCTGCCCGAATGAAGTGCTGTGAGATGTCTGTCGCTGTCCCAATGAGGTCACTTGCTCACAAGTTTGCAGTCCCTTGCGAGGTGACTTGTACAAGCAGCATCTGAAGGAGATTTCAAACTGTTTAAGGAGAATCTTGCGTTCGATTAGTGGTTTCTCTCTGAACCGACGGCACTTTCTGAGAGGGTGATATTTGTTGTGCAGAAGGCACTACCTGTTTATCTGGTGGTCCTCCGTCCTCTTGGTCGAGGATGACGCACAATGTTCGTCTGTTTTTAAAGTCACGTCGGTGGCATGGAATGCGACGGACGTGCTGCGGGCCTTTCATTGTTCGGGAACATCAGATAAACCCTTCCCGTTGTAGCGAGAGCGAAGCTTGGGTTGTTTCTCGTCCTGGCCTCGTCTCGGACGAACATTGAAAGGAAAGAAAAGGTCGCATTGGTGACGTCGTGGTCTTCCTTGTACGTTGAGCCCTGCAGATCCACATTTCCTGCAGACCGTGAGGCAGCTTCTCCATGATGGGATTCACGTCTCGTGCTGTGTCTAAGTTGCTGAGTTCCGCTCAGTGGGGACCATCTTTGGCTGCCTCTAGTTTGAGAAGCAGGCCTTCCAGCGCCTGCAACTGGTGAGGATTTTTTTTACGCAAACTTCGGAATGCTTCCGACTCGTTTGAACAACGCGGATTTGATTATTTCTGGTGTGCAGTAGAAACCCTTTAGCCTTTCCAAAACTGTCTTCAAGCCAGCCTAGGGAGTGTCAACATTTACAAATCATGCCTTCTAGCGTTGAGTGACGACTCGGTGCCAAGCCCCTTGATAAGAATATCGAGTTCTTCACCTGCTGTGACTTCAAGGGTATGCACTATTCCCTCGAAGATGGCTTTACATGCTCTGTACTTTTCAGGACGGTCGTCGAATTTGCTGAGCTCTGTACTGACCAGGTCTGTTTGAACCCAAAACTGGGCCAATCTACTCAAATATGATGCTCCGCTTGCTGCACGGGCGGGATCTTGTGGACGGCGATTTGTTAAAGCACGCAGTTCCGGGTCCGCTGAGCTCGACAATTCTCTCAATCCCCCGGGGCCACGGACATCCGCCATTGCTACCAGATTTCCACGACAGGAGGCTATCCGCCACCGAGGATGCCGATAGCTCGTCCTTGAGCCGCCCTCGGGCGCCGGCGTCTGGTTTCATTTAAGTCTTCACATCTTCCAATCGTAAAATATCGTGCCCGTTTGGTATTCCTGAAATTGAAACTGAGCCAAATTCACGAATTTTCGTGAACGCAGATATACAATCGTTTACAGTGCAACAAAAGTTGAGGTCTCTGAGCCTTTGTTTTATGTTCTTCTCGAAGAAAAGAATGCGGGACGAAGGCCTAAAATAATACACATGAAAGGGAAGGATACTGCGGCGGCGAATCAAAATTGTGTTTCCGGTTGAGGTTGGAAGGACAATGTACGACCCTCTTTGAAAGAAGCAAACGGTGAAAATAAAGATGATTCACTGAGGGCCATGACCATTCAGCTCTGCTGTGCGTGTCCGGAACACCTTGGCATTCTCACACAAACCCTCTATCAGCAAAAAAAAAAAAAAGAAAAAAAAAGCAACTTAGAATGACATGTGAGTCGGCGTCATCTGATAATGACATATCTGCGCGCTTGAACATACACTGTGCCGACAAAAGTTCACTTGGCGCACAATGAAAAAAACAAAAAAAAAAAAAAAACAGAATACACAACCCGCAGGTGATCGACGCTGGTCCTATAAAAATATGATTCCTGAGCTGAAAGCGCAGTTCTACTTCTTTTTTATCACTTGATCCTGATCAGTGTGCTTGCGTTCGGACGGGAGGGTAATCATGTGGCACAGACACAAGACCGGTCCGAAAAGCACGTAGCCTTCTTCGTACGGTCAGCATAGGAATAAAAGGAGTACGGTCCTTTCCAAAAAGAAACTCGTGAGCCCGTCATAAAATAGCATGAAGAGCGATCCACGAATCAAGCGACAGCAAGAGCCCCTTTCGGTGTTCATTTTTTGCCAGTGTGACTAATTCCTCTTCTTCAGATTTGGGGGTTTATAAACCGCTTGGACGCTTAGCATGCGAGAAAAACGTAAAGAAATTAGCAGAAAATTAGAGGGGGAAACGAAAGAAAAAAGAGACATATTCTTCCAGGAAGAATTTCAGGAGAGTAGGAACCGGTGGGATCAATAAGACAGTGCCAAAATTGCCACGCCATAGAGTTCGTTACTTAGTGTAAAGCCCGGTGTCTTACGCGTTTAGCATGCGTGCCGGCACTTGTATGTGTCCGAGCCTTCGACTTCACTTTAACTATATAATATCATTTCTAGGCTTCCAACTTCTGTGGTGTCTTGCGTGTCCGCCCTTATGCAGGCATTCCAGTTGCCAACAGAGCATTTTAGAAGTGTTTGTCAGCTTTTTGTATACCTCGTTCGTTTCATTATCCCCCATATACATCCTTTTGTTTTCCCCCGACATCAAGCAATGACGGCGCACGCTTGGCCGCCTCGCCACCGTTCCCTGACCGTTCTTTATGTTGGTCTTTGATTGGCGTGATCCTCCTTGAGTTCCCGATGTGGAAAACACGAATTTGGAAACACTTGCTTGCTGTTTCAGCGCGTTGTTGGCAGTGAGATGGGCCTGTTGCTTTTTAGAAGTCGTGTCGATGACGTGGTATGAACACACAGTACACAAATCATCAGCAATGAGATCCTAATACAACCGAGATGAGCGTATTCAAAAAGACCCGATTCCAGAAATGATCCTGTACCGATATACCAGGGTTGGCTTGCTGCAACAGCGTCTCAGCTGAGAATTAGTGAAAGAAAGCACTGCCAGGGATGGGGAGCGCGAGCGTCTTTAGATGCGGTTTGAATCCCGCTCAGCTCGTGCCAACGCTACTAGAATACCCAGTTGAAAATCTGCCATAGGATCCTGCCTTTAAAAAGTGCTTTGATTCGTACTCGAATACCGAACAAACGGCGAATGCAGCGCCACCATTTCTTTCGAAACGGCCACTCCGGAAAGTGCACGGCAGCACGTATTGATTCAGGGTCAACTCCGCTCAATTCCGAAGATTTCGGTATAATGATTGATTTCCCATTCAATTACCCTAGTAAAAGACACTGCGTCATTTGCTTCGCAGAAAATCGGATATATATTTTTAAATCTAATTATAAACACGAGCAGAAATCGAAACCGAAACTTCGGCTCCGTAAGGCAACATTGGCCTTTGGCCGGCAAGAACATGGGTATCACGTGGTTCGAGATGTGACGTGATCCTCTACGCATTGACGGGCTTGATGGCGATTGCAACATTACTACATTACTCCCGCGTGAGTGAAGTAAGTACCCCCTTCACCCACTTCAGTCCACCTCCTGTCGTTCGAAGCGACATATAGATTTTCGTTTCAAAACTGTGCGCTCCATAGAGTACGGTGGGACGCCACCTAGACGCTGTGCTTCGAAAAGTACGTATTCCATAGATTGCGCTGCAGTTACCCTAGCAGCCGTGTGGCGCGTCGAACGACAGGAGGCAAGTCGCGGTGAGTGAAGAAGGGCACTGCTTGTGTCTATGAGCAGTTCCGTAACTGAGCTAATCCCAGCAAACCATGGACGTCCGACGGACATCCGTATCGGATATATTGGACGTGCATGGGATATCCACGAACGTCCGACGGATATCCGACGGACGGCCAAAGATAACCATTTCGTACATCCGTCGGACGTCCGAAGTAGGATCCCTCAGCGGACCCAGTACGGACATAATTTGAATATTTGGATTCGGGCATAAATTTGTTCTGTGCACATCTGGGTGATGAAAGCTCACCAAAGAATGACGATGAGTCAATATTTACTGCCAGAATAACTTCATTCTAATCATCAACGCTTCTGGCAAAATCTTCGTCAACAGCGCTTTCGGAGGATGTGCAAGAACACACCGAAATACAGGGTGTCACAAAAGAAAATTTACACGGTCTTTTTTACCGCAAAAATAAACTAGGCATCGCCGAACGCTCATTCTCCGCCCAAAGGTAGAGCTAGAGGTCACAACCAGATGCCAAAGTTTCAGCCCGATCCGATCACTTAATCAAAAGTTATTAGTGATTTTCTGAAAATTTCAATGGGAAAATGGCGGACGACGGAGTTTTCAAACACCTGGGGCTCTATGGCACCAGAAACCGAAAACGGGCAAAAATGGGCTCCATTTTTTTATTGAAATTTTCAGAAAATCACTTATAACTTTTGATTTTAACTTATCGGATCGGGCTGAAACTTTGGCATCTGGTTGTGACCTCTAGCTCTTCTTTTGGGCGGAGAATTAGCGTTTGGCGATGTCTAGTTTATTTTTGCGGTAAGACCGTGTAAATTTTCTTTTGTGACACCCTGTATATGTAAAGAGCTTCTCCATATGGCATCTACTAGCTAGCAGTCTTGTCCTTGAGAGCCTTGTGCTTTCTATAGGTAATGACGATTCGAGAAGGGCGAGGGAAAGGAAAGTGCGAGAGGAGGAAGCAGACGCAACGCTGGCAAGGGGTGGGGAGGAGATTTTCTCCCTCGCCAGGTCTCTGTACGCTTCCTCCCTCCATCCATCTTTTCAATCGCCCTCTGTTCTGGAGCTGTCAGCAAGTATAGACAGTTCTAGCAAAGAGCCTCTGCTAGGTTCCATCTTAAGAGTTTGTGCTTAAGGGGCGTGTTTTGTTCACACTGAAAAGCGACAAACACACACGTGCTGGACAGTGCATTGGAACGGTGTATAGTAATCCTGAAAAAATAAATACAGGTATTAATGCATTGACTGACCTTGAGGCAAAAATGGTAGAAAATAAAAAACTGAAAGTGTCATTGGTTGGACAGCTGCAAGACTCAATCCTCCTTGGAGCGGACTTTTAAATCATGCTGCAGAATTGTTGCAAAATGATTATCATTGGAATATAAAACCTCACACAGCTGTTTAACATAATTGCCACATTGCTTCTATTTACGGGAGCGAACTTACCTGCTTCACATCATTTCCGTACTGGAAGCTGAGGAAACAAAATAATGTATCTTGCATTAAACCTCGCAGCTAAGATGTTGCAAGGCAGCTGGTGACATACTTCATCTCGGGTTACTCTCTTCGTCTCCCTGAGTCTTTTTGCAATTCACATTATCCATGCCCTTCGAAGGCATCAATTACTGCACATTATGGCCCGAATGAAATGAGTTAGATTACTGTGGCTTTCATGAAGCACACGGAAACTTAAATGCTGCAAATAGCGGCAACCTGGCAAGGCGAGGCTAACTGTGTATTGCGCATCACAAATAAAGCTAGTGAGAAAAAAAAAGAGTGCAAATAGCTTTCACAGTGGCGCACCCGAAACTTACCAGTAACTGCGAGATATGCTGCGCAACGTGCAAATCACAAGTGTGGGGTATACCTCTGCAATGCGTGGGCCTAATATTTAAAAAAAAAAGCAAAGTCATGAGCGCAAGCAGTTTTTGCAGCATACTTGGAACGTACCTGTAGCTTGGGCTGACAGTAGCGTCGGGAGGCCACCTGTGCACTACAAGAAACTAACGAAACAAGTGGACGAAGATATGAGTCGAGGCAGCTTTTACAGT